ACTGTAATAACCCTGCATTGATTGTTACTGAAAGGTATCAGGATGTTTTGTATTGGTTGGTTTATATTCTTTTGTGTGTTACGATTGAATAAAACTGTTATATCTATGATGATTTATCGTTATGTGTGGGGTCTCTCAGTCATTTAAAATCAACCAATAATTTTAAAATCTTGCAGCGTGAACCATGCATTAGCTGTTTACTCCTCAGTGTTTTCCCAGTCTGTAATCAGTTCCAGTCTCTCATCAGCCCAGTCCTACAGTAGATTCAGTCTCTCTCCATCTCCATGAGTGCTGTTCTGGTTTCCCCTGATTGTGCCTCGAGGGTTCTTTGAGCTTTTATAAGTTTTGCTGCCACACCAGTGTTTTGATTTTGTTGCTAATAAAGTTGTGCATGTCTGCCTCCATACAACTGTAACAAAATGTGCACCGATCATTTGTTTTGGATTGAATGACTTCAGACTTCCTCTTCTGTCTCCATCAGAACCTGTCAGGTGTCAGAAGCCTTGTAAGAACGGCGGCGTGTGCGTGGGCCTCAGCAGGTGTCGCTGTTCCACAGGATACACTGGCAGCCTCTGTGAAACAGGTTTGTTGTGCATTTGCAAATGTGTGGCTGWAACACTTTTCTCCTCACGCTTTCTGTTTGTTGGGTCTGCAGTTGTAACCACGCCGTGCGTCCCGCCCTGTCGGCACGGAGCCACATGCYGCCCACGAAACACCTGCATCTGTGCAGAGGGCACCGCAGGCCTGCGCTGTGAGAGGCTGTAAGTGCTTTAAAACACCAGCAGCATTTCTYTCACATTCAACAGCAGCTTTACTGTGAGATACTCGTGGACTTTATTTCTGATCTGCTCCAGGACGTGCCCTGTGGTCACCACTGTGATCAGTACAGCTCGGGGGGTGAGGAAAGCCTTCAGGGAGAGTTATGTTGATCGCTGCGGACCCTTAGGGGTTCAGCTTTGTACAAAATACAGGTTATTTGTTCACCTACAGCATTGTCCTGTACAGCTTTATTCATGAAATAGTTTACCATATGTTTTGTTTGTTTCTAGGATGAATCAGGCACGCGTTTACCTGCAGGCCTACAGGGTCGGCTACAAAATCCAGTGTCCTGGGCAGACGGGCAGATAAACYGGGCTGGATACCTCAAAAAACTGCTTTTCAACTTCACAGAAAACAGTTTAGACCTCATGTGAAGGCAAAACCACTTGAGCTGAATCAAGGCGAGCTCGTGCTGTGAAACCAGATGGAACAGAATAAATGTGAGGATCTGAGGGGACGAACTAATATCAGCCACTGGTGTTGCAACAAAAAGAGGCATGTCTCTAGTGTAAACACAATTTTTGTTGCTTGTGCTGACAGAACATTTTTCTAAATAAAAATCCTAAAATATTTACTGTGTTTCAGGATATAAAGTGTTTAAGTTTGTGACTTTTTTTTCAGGACATTGGGGCACCAAATGTAAAATAAAAAGTTAAAAATGCCCCTAACACGTTTTCATTAGCTCACTTTCTGAGTGTAAAATAAAAGTAAAAAATGAAATAAAAAAACTACCATTTTATTATTTAGCTCCCTTATCTTACATTTAGCTAATTTTTAATGAATGTTGCATTTAAATGTTATGTCTAAGTGTTAATCCTGTCTAAATGTGTAAATCTAAATGTAAAAATTTAATTTTAAAAGTTGCAGCTACATTAAAATTTATATTTGAGAATTTCAGACTGSAATGCAGCCTTTGCTGTTGGTAACGCCAATGCTGCTAGTACCGCTAATGTTGCTAACTCTTCTAGCGCTGCTGAAGCTGCYTTTAAAATTTCAATTCAAAATGTGTTTATTGAAAACAACATGGATGGTACCTGTGGTCCGGCAGTCTGAAGTGCAGCTKGGACACCGGCCGCAGCTACAAGTTTGAAGTCTTGTTGGGAAGTGTTAGCAGCATTAACGGCTGTGTGCAAAATGGGAGGCTGGGTCCTTCCGAAGGAGATTTACACATTTAGATTTAGGAGTTAACATTTAGACATAACATTTAAATTTAACATTTAGTAAAAATTTGCAAATTATAAGAACAGTGAGCTAAATAATGTTGGTGAAATTTTTCAATTGGATTTAACTAAACATTTTTGTTTTAGCTACACTTGGCGCCCCATACAGTACTYTGTCAGTATTGTGACCATTTTTACAGTTTGTGTTCTGTCTGATAATAGTAACTATCAMTATGGATGAATGGGAAGTAGATTCATCTATGGGTTATTACCACAATATGAAATTTGTRTTTTAAGTAACCGAAAAGTGCTTCYTAAAAARGAATTGGCACATGGATGTATTTAAGCAGTGCAGTGACAGATCTCTGAAACTAAAGTTTTCTTGATTTTCTCTAAATTGTGAGGGATTTCATGCTTCATCCAATCAGGTGATAACAGGTCAAAACCCCTTCAGAAGAAAGAAGCGTGACTGAATTTATTCCCCTTTCGATCCAACTCATTTCAGACCAGCAGAAATGATCTGAGTCAATGTTCAGACTCATCACAGCCCAGTGTTTTGTGTCTCCATCGCWGTTAGGATAGGGTCTAATCTCTTTTTGTACCTGTCCCCACTGAGACACAAAGTGCAGCTTGATTGCACAAAAATGTTGAGSAAAAGATACACAGTGAAATCAGCACAAAGTCTTCATAATCAGATGATACACTTTCAGTCAGTACTATTTTTTTTAAAGAATATTCACTTCTGTAATTATCTCTGATTGTTCTGACTATGGGATGAACCAGTACATCCCTTTTAATCATGTAAATAATTACACAATCTTGTGATGACTACAGGGGAGGGGAAAAAAGGTGCATTACTTTTTTTTTTTGTAAGAGTGCAATTCTTCAAATTGCTTTGGTGCCAGAGAGACACTGTAGCTTCAGTTTATCCCAGGCTCCACTCAGCAGGAAATAAACAAAATCAAGTTCAGCATGAAGGATGTAAGGAAGAAGCAAAAGTTCTGTTCTGACCAGGTTCTCTTTGAGGAAAATAAAAGAATGGCTGCTTTGAGGCAGAAAAATGATCACCACTCTCAGTAAGTGCAGGAGTAATGGTGGGGCAGTGATCACAAACTGACCTATGACCCCTGACCTTTGCACTCAGGCTTCCTCTTAGAGCTACAGAACTACAAGCTGCCTTAACTMCTTCATAACGATCAGCTGGTCAAGTGCATTTAATTAGCACCACATGGCACATTTTACTCCCTGAAATCAGCATAGTTTTACTTTTGTTCCACGAGCTGCGTTACAACTTAAGTTTCTTATTACAAATTTTACTAGAGATTAATCTTTCAACCCTATAGAAATAAGTARAACAAGAGAATTRGTATTRCCTYCAAACATACAGTAGTGTGAATCCTRAATGCTGAAAGAWTTTTGCTGATTACCAGTAGATAAAGAAACTGAAACTAGCTTAAAATAGCTTTAAAAAGTACCTAAAATTAGTACAAAGAAACAGAATGAGCCCATGTTTGCTAAATTAAACGGTAAAATGCTGACATAATCACAAAAAAGTTAATTTAGCTTAAAAAAAAGCTCAAATTAGTTAACAGAAAACAGCTGAATAGCAAAAAGGTTCACAGTTGAAATTTGCAGAATAGAAGAAAAAGGAATGACATAAAAATGCTGAAAAAAGCTTAAATCAGTTAAAAGACATATGAAGCTGAAATTAGCACAAAGAAGTTGAAGAAAGCAGAATCAGAACAAAGGTAAAATGTAGTAAAGATTTATAAACATTTTTGAAGGGTTTTAAGAGAGCTCCAATCAGTTTCAATAAGACAGACATGGCCAAAAAAGCTAAATAAATCTAAAAAATTGTGTAAATTGCTGAAGTACCAAACATCTTAGCAGGAATGTCCTGATGGAGCTGAACATTTTCATATATAAATTGTAAAAGTAGCACAAAATTTGCAGAATGAGATACATACAGAAAACTTGTGGTAGGAAAAAAAATTACCTCAATAGTGTGAATGCTTTATAAGCATTTACACAATAATAGTAATTTATAAAAAAGAATTGGGCTGCTGTGGCTACATGAGGTCTAAGCTGGTATTACTCCTGTAGGAAAGCTGCAGTAAAACTTCAACTCAGTAAAATCAGAGGCGATCTTGACGAGGAGTTATGCAGATTTCATATGGTTTCGGTGCTAGAGTGATTCCATAGCGGTACTCCATCCTAACTTGATCTCCAGCGGGCATGGAGAAAGTAAAGTGCTGCATGAAGGAGGTGAAGAAGAGAAACAGTTCCATCCGGGCCAGGTTCTCTCCAAGGCACAGACGCTTTCCTGAGACAGAACAGGAGAAGCAAATGAAGAAAAATATGTTAATTGCTGTGTCCTTTTTTTTTTTTGCAACAACCCAAACTGCAAACAAGATCAGAAACTTAAAATTAGTTTGTTTTTAACTCCTCACCTGTAGAAAAGGGAATGAAAGCTGCTCGTTTCACAAACTTGCCCTCTTTATCCAGGAATTGTTCTGGATTGAAGGTGAAAGGTGTCTCCCACTCATTCTTGTCAAACAACACTGAAGCTAAATTAGGAATTATCAGAACTCCCTGGTGAATAAAATAATGTATAAATACAAACTCTTGGTTGTGACATGAAACTGTTTGTCTTCAACCAAACTGGTTAATAACTAACCTTTGGGATGGTGTAGCCTCCCAGCTGGACTTCTTTATTAGTGGCATGTGGTAAAGCGAGAGGGGCTATGTTACCCATCCTTTGGATCTCGTGGATCACAGCGTCGGTGTAGGGCAGGTTTGCACGATCCTCCATGGATGGCTGTCTGGACTGTCCAATCACTCTGTCTATCTCAGCCTGGACCTTCTCTGCACAAAARATAAACTGAGGTTGTTGGGTTGTCACTTGGACACACCGATACTGATGATCTAGATTCAGTAAATGTATTTACCTTGGATTTCTGGATATTTTACCATGTAGAGAAAGGCCCAGCGGAGGGTGGTGGATGTGGTTTCTGAACCGGCCAGGAACAGATCTAAAACGCACATAATCAAGTTCTCCTCATCGAAAGTGTTGTCCTTTTGGCCTTGATTCTGAAAAAAAGAATTCATTAGTAAAAACGTGTTGAAATGCACTGGGGAACAACATGTTTACATTCATCAAATTTTATCTTTGTTTACTTTTCACCAGTCAGAGCTGTACCACTTTAAAATGCTGTGCCAGTGCAACGGTGATAACAGAAGTTGTAAAATGTGAAATGTAATAGCAAATCTAAAATCCTCAGCCAAAATGCCAGATGTGAGCGATCCTTGTGAGTAGCATGATGCAACATCAGTCACCATGTGAATCTCATTCAGGTAGCAGTCGATGTAATCTCTCAGCTCTGAGGGATCCCACTTCTTCTTGTGCTCTTCCAGCTCTGCTTGTATGAACTTCTTCACCTCGTTCCAGATCTGTTTGACCATCTGATGTGGACCTGGCAGACATTTCATCAGCAGAGTGAAGGAATTGTAGAGCTGCACAGAGGGGCAGAATCAAACGGTTAATTGATCCTGACCATTGTTTCGCTATTAAGTATGGAGGACTGAAACTGTCAGTAATTAAAAATAAGAAATACACAAAGGGTCCCCAAAATTAATAAAGAGCAGCATGACAGCTCAGTGGTTAGCACTGATGCATCACAGCAAGAAGGTCCTGGGTTCGATCCCAGGATCTGGGGTCTTTCTGTGCAGTTTGCATATTCTCCTCATGTTTGCGTGTTTTTTCTCTGGAGACTGGTTTCCCCCCARTCCCCATAACATGTACAATAGTTTACCTTCAGGCCAAGGCCTCCCTTGAAAAAAAGATCTGCAATCTTAATGGGACTTGCCTGGTTAAACAACAGTGAAAAAAATAAATGCACCAATTGATTGAAAGAAGGAGAGCTCTACCTCATGTTTCGTAATTCGTTGACCTTCTTATTTTTCCAGCTTAGTTCCAACAAATTATATATCTTAACACAATTTAAATGTTACAGTTTTTACACACACACACACACACACACACACACACA